TCAGGCGGGGCCGGGTAAAAATATCAGTCGGGCAGGTAGTACGGGGGAGCAAGCGAGAATGGTGGGGGGTCACGGGCCGGTTCAGCAGGTAGGGGGGCAGCGGGGTACGGGGGTCAGGCAGGGGAGAAGGGTCAGACAACCCGGGGATCGAGCAGGGTCACAGAGAATCAACAGGAACGGGAAACGGGCCCAAGAAAACACAACACCAAGGAAAGGTCGCAGGTCTGAATGCCCCCTTAAATACACCAGTATAATTATTTTCCAGGGTTTGACTTGCGAAAGGGTTGAGTCCTGATGCTGGAGCACCCGCGGCCACCCTGTACTGCAGCCATAAGGCAGCTGAGCCCCATATTGCTGGCCAGTCCTTTCCCTGACAAAAAGGCGGAGAGTGCCAAAACACTGCTGGGAAAGGAACAAAATTGAGGCTAATTTTTGAAAATGAATTCGTCCCAGAGCGTGCACAAGGAGGTCAGTGAGGGGCTTGGGCAAGAAATATAAAATTAAATTTCCATAGCCTTCCACAATTTCTTTTGACCCGTACCTAAAGTTAAGTGATGGAAGGGGGCAGGAATATTTATTAACCACTTCAGAATCAAAAAGTTGAAATATGTCCTAAAATACTTCTTTACTTTTTGGGTCTCTCTTACATTCAGCTCTTTTCCTGTGCCCTTTGTTACCAAAAATAAGGGCTGCCAAAAAAAGACAACGGGAAATTTTCCCTTTTGTTTTTACATAGCAGAGAGCTGTCAAAAGCAGGCTGTGTTAAATTACACTTACAAAACTGCAAGTAAAAGGTTTGTTCACTCCAGCTCTGATTCTTTACCATGTGGAGGATCGAGTTGTAGATTTTTTTTTTTTTTTATAGCTGCCACACTTTAAAAATTTTTTCTTGTTCTTTTTCCTTTTGATTACCTTCACCTATTAGGCAAGGGCCTGTCTGATTGCATCTTGTTCAATCCCAACCACAGCCCCCTCCCGGGAGTTTCATGTTCTCCCTGTCAAATTGTGGTAGTTCCAAATTTTCATGTCACACGATATTACTAGCAAAGGTCTAGAAAATGCAAAATTTAATTAAGAACACATTAATTAAACACAATAAATTATCCACAAATTTTTGGTCAAAAAATTAAAAGCCGAGGTTTGCCGCATCATCAAACCTTAAATTTGTGTGCGCCCGTGAAATGGCTACGTACTTCAGTACCCTATATTTTCTATTGGCGACACTTCAAAAGCTTCCTGTAGGTCATCAGTTTAGTGTTACGAAGGTGGTCTTGTGCTAGGAATTATTGCTGTCTGGCGTGTGCGGCGATATGTAACGTGTATCGCAATCGACGTTTTCATGCATAGACACGTGTGTGTACATGCATATATATGTGGGAGGGCCTCAACATTTTTGGGGGGAGGGATTTTATGTGCTTGGGCTTGCCTTAATTTTTTTTGCAGAAATTTTTTTTTTATTGCTTAACTTTTTTTCTTTTGGTGACAGGTTCTCTTTAATGCTTACAATGTTTTTAATGTCTAAAAGACCCTGCATGTCTGCTCTGGGCTCCACTCAATGTTTTACACTGCAGATCGCATAGCAATACGTTGCTTCTTGGCTGTGCTAGCTGGGAAAAGTGATAGGTGACCCGGATGTGACGTCATACATGTGGCTTTCCGGGTCATAGGAAGAAGGGGAGGGAGAGCGGATGTGTGTCAGCTCTCCTCCCTCCCCTTCATCTGCCGGTACCCACCATGTCAGCCCCAAACCCGCAGCTGGACAAGTGGAGCCCGGGACACATGCGGGGGGGGGGGCGCGCGCGGTGCCGTGCCAGTACCGAGGTGTATGGAAGCAATCTGGCAGCAGCTTCTAACTGCTTCCACCTGACAGGCAAGAGTCTGTCTGCAAGTGCACAGTATATTTGCCTTTAGTAAATCATTCCCCGAAGTCTTTTCTATCCGCTGTCTCATTCCTCTTATCACTTACAAGTTCTCCTGACACCAGAAGCTTCAGAGGTGACAAGGAAGGGACCTTCAGCTGATTTAAAGCCTCAGCTCTATTCCTGTGTAAAGGGGAGGGGTGTCCCTTCTCTCCAATCAGCTCTTTTGTACAGTCTTTAACTGCAGTTCCCATCCCCTGCTTTGTGAGTCGGTGAAAATCCTTTTCGTCTCTGAGTTTCACAAGGATGTAGAGGACAAATGACTGCAGATACACAGGTACAACCTATGTGGGATAATTTGTTTTATCTCTGTGTATCACCTGAAGCCAGTCACTTCACTGGGTATAGTTAAGGGGTGTCAAACCAGCGATCCTCCAGCTGTTGCAAAACTACAAGTCCCATCATGCCTCTGCCTTTGGAGTCATGCTTGTAACTGTCAATCTTGCAATGCCTTGTGGGACTTGTAGTTTGGCAACAGCTGGAAGGCCTCCAGTTTGACACCGCGTGGAAAAAGGTTTTAAACCACTTTAACCCCTTCCTCCCCTCATCTATTTTTTTTTACCAATAAAAAATTTAATTTTCTTTTTATATTTCAATAGTTTTCTTTGCTGTCTTTTTTTTTTCTTTGTGGCATAACGAAAATGCACAAAATTGCAAAATATCTTTGCAAAATGGGACAAATGATAAAATAATGCTGCATGCACACGGACGTATTAAATTAATAGAAATTGCTCCGGCCCATAAGAGGTACACAGGTACAAGAGCTGAAGTGGTTAGAAAAAGGTTGCAACAAATGTGGATTTATTGATAATTTTTAGCGGTAATCCAGACAGCAGCAAATTTGCCAGAAATCCATTACTAGTTAAGTAGTACATATATTACTTTTTTTTCTGGCTTCTGTCCCATTCACATGGGTTTACTACAGCGTTACACCCAGGGCCGTGGAAAAGGGAGTACAACCAGTCCTCCTGTATTGGGGCCCAGGTCAGCAGGGGGGCCCAGGCAGCTGGGTGAATCAGATTTTTACGCAGGAAGGGTGATTGGCACAGCTGGGGGGGGGGCAATTACTGAACCAATCCCTTGTATACCTCTCTGCAGCAGTTGAAAGCTGGCCTCTTCTCACCCTCCTGCTGGCTTTCAGCTGCTGCAGAGAAAGCCATACAGGGGATTGGTTCCAGTAATCCCCGCCGCACCCATCACCCTCCCTGTGCACCATACGTTTCACTCTGCGGCCGGGCCCCCCATGTGTGCCCCCCACCCCTGCAGTGCTGCTGGATTCCCTCCTCTAACCACCAGCAACTGCAGTAATGCAATAGGATCCTTCAGGATGGAGACTGAGGGAAGGGTGCGGTAAATATGTCACATTTACCCGCCCTTTCCTTTTCTGAATGAACACAATGATCGGTACCGATCACTCGTGTTCATTCATAACTGAAGCATAGTAAGCTTGGAGATTTGAGGGAAGGGTCTGGTAAATATGTCACATTTACCCGCCCCTTCCTTTTCTGAATGAACGCAATGATCTGTACCGATCACTCATTGCGTTCATTCATAACTGAAGCATAGTCAACTTGGAGAGTTGAGGGAAAGTTTTGGTAAATATGTCACATTTACCAGCCCCTTCCTTTTCTGAATGAAGGCAATGATCGGTACCGATCACTCATTGTGTTCATTCATAACTGAAGCATAGTAAACTTTGTGTTTTATGTTTTTGAGGGGGCCCTGTCACGTTGGCTGTATGGGGCCCTGTGGTTTCTAACAACCGATCACTCATTTTGTTTATTCATAACTGCAGCATAGTAAACTTGGAGAATTGAGCCCCTTCCTTCTCTGAATGAACGCAATGCTCGGTACAGATCACTCATTGTGTTCATTCATAACTGAAGCATAGTAAACTCTCTTTTTTTATTTTTTGAGGGGGGCCCTGTCACGTTGGCTGTATGTGGCCCCGTGGTTTTCTAACAGCAGCCCTGCGTACACCTGTGCAAGGGCCGTGTCAACCCACATATAGGTGAACAGGTGTTCTGCGCATCACCATGCGGGTAGTCTCATTCATGTCTATTGGGATGCTGCAGCTGCGTGGACACAGCCGCTGCTCCCAATTTGACATCCATGTGAGTGAAGGGCCCTGATTGCACACTGTCTGCACATGGATGTCAAATTGGGAGTAGCGGCTGTTTCCGTGCAAACGATGCGTGCTAATTGACATCAATGGGATTGCCTTCTTGGGGATACACAGGACACTTGTGCTTCCCCGTGCTGGTAAAGATGGGCCCTTACATGGATGTATGCTGTGTGAATGAGGCCTTTAAATGATGAGAAGTAGACAGGAGACAATAAAGACAAGGGACGCCAGGTGGTCGAACCATCGTATTTTATATGGTTTAAAAATAAGATATGCAAGGGGCGTTCTCCTCTGGGAGATTCTGCTGTCGTGCGATCCAGATGGCGTTATCGTATGGATGTCATGACCCCAGGGCGGCGGGGACCATGAAGGTGACAGGTAAGAGGGAAGGATGGGAGCAGGGACTGTGTGATGGAAGTGACAGATGATATGTACGTAAAACAGTTTCCTTTGCTGTTTTCCAGGAGACAACATGGAAGATTGCGGCAGTGGCAGCGTTTATCCAGACATTTCCTCTCGCTGCTCCTTGTTCTTGCGGACTTCAGCAGCATGCAGCTCCTAAAAAGACACAATAATGGGTCTGTGAGGGTTAATGAGATAGTACAACTGAGGCAAAGGGTATTAAACCTTAAAGTGTTACTAAACCCTGGACCCCGCATTCACTATATCCGCTCTCCCCGGACCCCGCATTCACTATATCCATTCCGACCCCGCATATCATATCCGCTCTCCCCGGACCCCGCATTCACTATATCTGGTCTTCCCGGACCCCGCAGTAACTATATCTGGTCTCGCCGGACCCCGCATTCACTATATCTGGTCTCCCCGGACCCCGCATTCACTATATCTGGTCTCCCCGGACCCCGCATTCACTATATCCGTTCTCCCCGAACCCTGCATTCACTATATCCGCTCTCCCCGGACCCTGCATTCACTATATCCGCTCTCCCCGGACCCTGCATTCACTATATCCGCTCTCCCGGACCCTGCATTCACTATATCCGCTCTCCCCGGACCCTGCATTCACTATATCCGTCTCCCCGACCCTGCATTCACTATATCCCGGTCTCCCCGAACCCCGCATTCACTATATCTGTCTCCCCGGACCCTGCATTCACTATATCCGCTCTCCTCGGACCCCGCATTCACTATATCGCTCTCCCCGGACCCCGCATTCACTATATCTGGTCTCCCCGGACCTTGCATTCACTATAACCGGTCTCCCGGACCCTGTTCACTATATCCGCTCTCCCCGGACCCCGCATTCACTATGTCCGGTCTTCTCCCAGACCCCGCATTCACTATGTCCGCTCTCGCTGGACCCCGCATTCACTATATCCGGTATCCCCGGACCCCGCATTCACTATATCCGCTCTCCCCGGACCCTGCATTCACTATGTTTGGTCACCCTGCATTCACTATGTCTGGTCTCCCTGCATTCACTATATCTGGTCTCCCTGGACCCCGCATTCACTATATCCGTCTCCCACAGTACACAGAACATGGAAATGTAATTATTTTAGTAAATATAAACTGCTAAATACCTTTTCCCATCAGCAGTTAGAGCAGTCTCGTGACTTCTATCAGTGTCCCACAGAGCACTGGTTTAAAGCTTGTAGAAGGAGTTTTCTTTCTGCTCTAGCAGGATTCAGAACCCCTGACCCTCTGTCTGGACAGTACTGATTGGCCCTGTGCTGATCACTTGCACCCTCCCAAGAAACAAAAAAACCTCTCTGGCAGTACACACCAAATTGAGCATGTGCAGAATGTCTCCGCACAATATGACTTATCAGGAGATAAGAGGGGGGCACTGGAAGTAAGGGGAGGATCAGAGGAAGTCAGGATCAAACAGCATTTTTACACAATGCAGAGATTAACCTCCTAGGTTTCCACAGTGAGTATAACAAGCATGCTTTACTGCATCTACAGACTGTTTGTACTGTTGTGGGTTTAGTAACACTTAATGTGGACTCCAGGCCAACACACAAGTAAAAAACGTGTTAAGCATACAGCAGTCACTTCCCCTGCTCCCCCCCCCGTGATTGCACATGAAA